GCGCGAACGGTTCCGCTGCTGCTCGGCCACCCCGTGTGCGTCCGTGGACGGGCGTCCGTCTCCTCCCGGGGACCTGGCGTGCGTGCGTGCGTGCGTGTGGGAGGCGATCGGTGTGCGCGCGGGCCGGTAACAGCTGCCCCGGTGTAGCGGGGAGCGATGAAAGGCCGTGTAATTTAAAAGATTACAAAATGAGGCTTTGTTCACGGGCTGGCAGCAGCCGTGGTGCCGAATTTGGGCTCCTTCCCGCCTCTCCCGGCGTGGGTTCCTGCAGAAACGGGTCGGCTGGTTTGCCCACCTTGTCTGTCAGTCGCCTCAAGTTGTTACTGCGGCCCCACTCGGTGGAGGAAGACCCCGGCCAGTAGAAAGAAGCCCCGTGTTTGTTTTTTGTTTTTTTTTGGTTTTTTTGGAGTGAGGGTTGGGAGGTTTCTCTCTGATAGTAAACCCCACCACGTACATGAACAGAGTATGTATGTCGGGGTCCACCTTGCAGAAGCCAGGCAAGCATGGCAAGGTAAGAAGAGAGGTCTCTCTGAAAGGAAGTCATTGCAGTTTACTGCAAGAGCGACGGAGACTTAGGAAAAAAAAATAAGTTTATCTTCACCGGGGTTAGTCGTTTCAATGATAATTCATTAAAAAAAAAAAGTTGGTTTTTAGACTTGGTGTGTTACAAATTCTACTTAATAGTCTGTCTGGAGTTTAGTTCTGTTTTAACGCCAAAGAGCTTATCCTTGGACTTCGGCGCCCTAGTTGCCTCACCAGTAAAATGAGAATGATAAGGTGGTACTTACCTCATAGAAGGTTGGGAAGAGTACATGTTTCAGATCGCCCAAGTGTTTAGAACAGTGCCTGCCATACTGCGCTTCGTCTGACTGTGTTTGGACTTCTGAAGTTTCGTGCGGCTTGGCTACTTAGGCACTGAAGAGATCGTTTAAAAATTAGTTTCTAACCCCTCAAATTGATTAAACACTTGAAGGCTATGGTTAGTAGGAACGTTTGTCTTTCTGCTTCTCCATGCAGTCTTGTTTATATCAGTAATGCTCCCCACACTTCTCTGTTAGCTCCTTGTCTTGCATGTGCACTTCACCTTTTCTGTTTTGTATCTCCTTATTTTCATCTAAAGAACTTCGTTTGAGTAGCTGCTGTTGTCCTTACTTCCCGTTGCTGGAAAGCACTTCCAGACTCTTGTTGGAATGACACTTGTTGGTGGTCTCTTCCTTTTAACTATCAGTTTGTGGTATTATCCACTAACTCGGGTACACCCAAACTTCCTCACATCCTGATTAGAAATACATCTATCTTTTCTGAAAATTACATTTATTAAATAGCTCACTTTATTTTGATTGGTAACAAGGGTAGCCCTCATGGAAGGAATTCTGAGAAGTTGATGATCTTAAAATTTGTAACAACTAGTAAGTTCCCAGAAGAGAGTTTGGTTTGTGTGGTTGCTTGGTTGGTCTGTTGTTTGTTTCTCAGATCACAAAACTTGTACAGCATATTATCTTCCCAGTGAACTTTTTATTCCTAAGAAATTTATGGAATTAAATCTGTTTACCATAAACCAGGAAGCTTAAAACAGTGGAAATTGACTGTTTTCAGTTTTCAAGACTCAAATGAAGATGTGGGAAGGGTCTAGCTTCATCTGAAGGTTTGGAATGGAATTCGTCCTTGCTGTCCTGGCTTCTGAACAATCCCTGTAAACACATCACTCTACACTCTGACACCCCTCCCTCTCTGTGGGGACTCACTTCTCCATGTGGTCTTGAGAGGGCGTCAGTCTTTGTTTTAGTTCACCCTAATCCACTATGTTTTCAGCTAAGTGTTTTTCCATTTACAAGTACCCAGGCCTAGGACTTCAGCACCTCTCTTTGAAAACAAAGTTCATTCCACAATGCAGTGGTATGCTAATCACTTAGCTATTTCTCATTGAGAAGTGCACATTATAAATAGCAGGAGACTGAGTAACATTGATAATAGAAGATAAATTCTTGTTGCCAGTGAGGTAGCTCATCTGACACGGGGCCTGATGCTTGCCAGGACCCACACCATAGATGGAGAGGACTGGTCCTACAGATTACTTTCTAACGTCTACATTGTTCCATGACACAGTTCCCCCTTTGTAATGAATGTAATTACACAGGAGGTTTCATTTCAAACTAAATTCTTTGTTTACATACGTAATAAACTTAATTGATCAGGCTGTATAGTTTCTTGAGTCCTATATTTTATTCTAATATTAATATGGATACAATGATGAAGTAGGCTATACATTGCTGTCAGGAGTGTTGGTGTCTATTTCAGCATGAAGAGTTTTGTTGTTTCTTTAGCAGTTGTTCAAGTATTGTCTTAGTTGCTATCACCATATCCTTGAGGTTTAATTTTTGTTTCTTTGTTTAAAGGACAATTTAGGGGAGACATCAAAGAAACCATATGTGGTATTAGAGATCTCTAAAGTGTACACACATTGTCTACCAGTGAACAGAAACATCGTGCAGAGATTCCCAAGTCTTTAGACTTTGTGAAACGATAAGAAATATATACAGGAGTAATGCTAGTGAAGGCTGGGTTTGTAGATGCAAATAGATAAAAGTCACAGTGTTAATTTTACTAAATAAGGATAACCTATGTGATGGGAATGTCTTTTGTACATACGCTTCTCTGGTTGATGAATTAAACACTGATTGGCCAGGCAGGATGGTAGGTGACGCTAGGAGACTAAGAGAATGCTGGAAACCATAGGCAGAGGGGGTAGTCATGTGAGCCCAGGAAGAGGGGACTGGAGTCAGGCGTTCTCCAGTTAGATAAGACTTTGTAGAAATAGAGATTAGTAGTTACGGGTTAATAAGACAGGGCTAGCCAATAAGAAGCCCTCGTCTTTGGCCAGCAGTTTCATAATTAATATAGTGTCTGTGTTTATTTGGGGCAAGGCGGCTATGGGATTAGGCTAGGGGGAAAGAGTGCTCATAACACCTGTGTTATTTATTGTATCTTTTATTTTTATTTTATGTGTATGGGTGTTTAGCCTCCATGCATGCATATTCCACATCAGATGATGGTGGAGTGGGGGGAGACAAGTATTGACTGATCCAGGTACAGAAGCCACGGGAAAGTTATGAATGCACTTAGATGTCCATAGATGTTGGCTACAAGCCCTGAAGTCAGGGGCGCTGGAATTTGGAACAGACTTTGGAGACAGGCTGCTTGAGACTAAACCCCTGTTCTACATAGTACACTTGCATCTTCTGGGGAAATAAATATAAGAAATAAAAGTGGCATCTGTGGTATAGAAGAATAAGTTAATATGTTAAGTGTATTGAATAGTATCTAGCATGAAAGTTGTTCTGTATGTCTTAACTGCTATTATTAGGGGAAGATAGACTTCAAAGAGAAGAGATTCAGAGCATGACTTTTTTACCCTTTGAGTGTTAGGAATGAAGTATTGCATGAGAGTAACAACACCAGGAAGTAGGATTTCATAAAGTTCAGGTTGATTTTTTTATTTTTTAAACAATTGGATAACTTGTGCATGTCCCAACGGTGGCTGTACAGTGGCATGTGTTGGAATGGATTTCTTGGGAGTAGTTAGTGAGCTTGCAGGAATGGGACAGAAGTAGAGTGGTGGCCTGCTTCCTTCTAAAATGGTAATCTTAGAAAACAGTCTCGGAGCAGGCCTGAGACTGGTAGGCAGGTGGACTTCACTGTCTGGCTCCAGGAGGGGAAATGCATAGGTTGTATTTGTTCTTTGTGTTTGTGAGACCAACAGCTACTTGCTGTAGATCCATTGAATAAAAGAAACTATAAAGCTTACTATGAAAATGTACTTAAGTTTTGCAAGTGGACTCCCTGTTTATTTTTCCAGTAAAATTTTTTACACAACTACTGTTTAGAGCTGGTAATTCTCTCTAGTGAACAAAATCATTCCCCATGGATAGTGTTTTTAAGTGTTCCTTTACCCATACATGACAGTTTGGGTTTGCAGTGCTACTGAGGGTGTTTCTCTTCCTTCCCTTAATACTTACTTACCTGCCTGCTGTGCCAGGCATTGGTGCTACAAAGGTGAACTCAGACATGGTTCCTTCCTTGACTGTCCTGAGGAGAAAATAGAATCTGCAATCAGTGGCTAGAAACAGTTGTAGGCACACAAGGCCCAGAAGAGTCAGTGGAGTCAGTCACATGAAAGCTTGGGGGAGGACAAGGAACTTGTTGTGCAGAGAGAGCACGGTTTTCAGTGTTGCTGGAACTCAGACTGTAAGACGGTGGGTTTGGTGGACTTGGTTTGTGAAGGATTCTGAAGCCATTTTAGGATAGTCTAAATACTATGTTACGGGAAGTGACTTGGGCTTTGAGAGAGATAATATGCAATATGATGGTCGTTAATAATTGGTTAATGGCCGGAAGGGAATCGAGTTGAAGCAGTCCAGCAGCAAATCGTAGCCATTGAGACTAAGGTCCTAGTAAGGGACTTCTCTGCCCCCAGGAAGAAAGCAACTAGAGAAACTTAGGAAGGGGTTAAGTCTGAAGGTGTAACTTATGTTTCTGGCTTGTACAGTTTGCTGTGTACTGTTAATCATTAAGACATGAAAGTGGAAGGAAACCAGGGGTGAAGTATTTCAGTGTTGGACCTCTGGGAAAGAAATGCATATAGTAGAAGTCAAGGAGATATTCTTCTGAGGCATCACAGCTGAAAACAAAGATTGGGAGGAATCCAAGTCTAGATGGAAAATGAGACCCGGGAATCATTTGGGAAAATGAGCATCATGTCCACTTTCAAAATCTTGGGTTTTGAAGCAGTTTGGCTTTTCGGCTTTTGATTTTGAGATTTGGGTACTTGCTGAGTTTCTTAGGTCAAGGCAAGAGACTGTTTGATAAGGAAGACCTCTTTTTTTTTACACATGCGTGCATGCACACATACACACACACACACACACACACACACACACACACACACACACACGCACGCACGCACGCACGGGTGAGGAATGAGAATTTGAATATAAATACATTCTAGACAAAGCTACAGAATGAAGTTTTTCTCTTGGACTTAGTACCACAGAAGAGACAACCTTGAGCCAGTTCGGTGAGGAGATGGGAAGGGATGAGATGAAGGGTTGGGCTGTAGGTGTGCTATCAGAAATCTGTACTTAAGACTTGGACTGAGTTTAAAGAGACGTGAACATTTTAAATATTTAATAAGAGGCCTATCAAGATGGCTCAGTCAAGTGCTTGCTGCACAAACCTGAAGAGTTTAGATCCTTAGTGCCCATGACAAAAGCTATGTGTGGTGGCATGCAGCTCTAACCCTGCAGTGAGGAGGCAGATGAGGGGGTGTCTGGGGCTTCTTGGTCATCCAGTCTATCTGGATTGATTAGCCCCAGGTTCAGTGGGAGGAGACCTGTCTCAGGAAGTGGAGAGGTTGAGGACAGTGCTTAGCATTGACCTCTGACTCCCGTGCACATGTGCATATGCACTAGCATGGGCGGATGCACGCATGCACTCCATCCACACACAGGCACATAACGTCTCAGTCACACAAGGGACTGACAGGTCAGTCTCAGGTTTCTGCTTAGGTTTTGGAAGTGGTCTAGAGGTGATTTAAAAGTGATGTGCTGGGATCATTGCAAGTCTCCATCTTAGGAAATGGCTTGAGCACTGTGTATTTTCTTGCTGTCTGTGTAACCAAGACGCTGAGAAGCACCTGTGTTGTGAAACTTATTAATATATGAGAACTTAGTCACAGCTTATGTTGCCTTATAACTTTTTTCCATATATATGTATAATTTGTCAACTTAATACAAAGTAAAATTTTAACTTTTTAAGTGTTAAAAATGTGACAGTTTCTCACTTTTGATTTTCTATTTAACGTGTGTTTGTATATTGCCTTTCATTCTTGATTTTTTCTGAGTGGGAACAGATTAAAGAGTAAAATGGGCTTTTTTTTTTTTGGTCAACAAGAGATGGGAATGCTAATTTCTGAGAAAACTGGTCATATATTCATTTATCTGTTTGTCCCTTAGCATGACTATATGAAGGGAGAGGAAGGTTTCTCTGAAGATGAGGCGACTGAATCGGAAAAAAACCTTAAGTTTGGTGAAAGAGTTAGACGCCTTTCCCAAGGTTCCTGACAGCTATGTGGAGACATCAGCCAGTGGGGGAACAGGTGAGCTTGCTTCAGACTGCCTTAGGCATCATGCACGACACATGGGCGCTGGCCATGAGGATGAGCTCATGCTGGATCTTAGAGTGGCTTTGTAACTGCTCATCCTGTGCCAAATTGCTCTGCTTTTATTATCTTTATTCTCTGTAGCCTTTGGCAGTGCCTCTGTGCCACTAGCAGTATTTATTAAATCTTAATGAGCAAGTAGTACAGTTTACACCGTGGTGTTATTGTGCATATAATATTATACAATATGTTGTATATTATATTATAATGCTGACACAGCTCTGTTCCTATTCTGGGTTGGATAGCAAGTAAAGACTTGCTATGATAAAGTCCTCAGAATGGAGTGAGAGCTAGCTCAGTTTCATCTGCCTTAGTTCTTCTGTGAAATGAGGATGTTAGCATTTATGTGGCTAGAGTTAATGTATTAATGATGTAACTTTTCTGTAAGTGCTTAGAGCAACACTTGGTACAAATACTTTACTTTGTTAAGTAAAGTAAGTGATAGAATATGTAAAAGAAATCTGAACCTATAATGATGCTTCCTAATATTTTTCCCCTATGGTGAATTAGCAAGTAACCCCTTCATACGCTTTTGCAACGTCATTGGATTAAAAAAAAAAAAAATGTGTAATACATACAACCCAGTTGTTACTGCTGGCCTAGCACGTGTGGAGCCCAGGCTTTGAATCCAGCATCACGTAAACTGGGCAGGGTGACACATGCCTGCAATCCCAACACTGGGGAGGTGGATGCAGGAGGGTCTCAACTTGTAGATCACTCTTGGTTACGTAGCCAGTTATAGGCTAGCCTGAACTACTTGAGACTCTGACGCAAAACAAAACAAAGCAAAACAAAACAACCCCTAGTGAATAAAGTGCAATAAAATGGCTTGCTGCTCCCAACCCCTGAGAGTGAAGAGAGTGCCGATTCTTGTTGCACAGCCTGCCGTGTATCTTGTATTATTTAGTAAATTCTTTTGACTGGGATTCTATTTAATATGCTATGTAGTAATATATTCAGGATATTGCAAAGTACATGAAAATATTTTAGGGGCTTGGAGAGCTTTTGATTTTCTGGCTCACAGATATTGTGGCATCTCAGGACCTCTTTTGTTTGTTTTAAGTTGCATTATAAGCATATGTGTATTTCTTAATAAAGAGGGAAGTGTTTTTAAATTGGTGTTGTCAACATGCTTATTTTTATTAGTTATCCTATCTGTGCCTGATGTGTAGCAATACAAACCTGTCTGTCTGGCGATAGACACTGTTGAAACTGAAGACGAGTCGTTCTTTCTCAGTATGTGGATGTTTGTGCTCGGTTGTCATTTCTGAACTGTTTCCAAACATCTGTAACATTTTAAGGGAATCATTTATGCTGCTTATTTACATAATGTTCATGTTGGACACTTCCTTTTTTTCCTCATTTTAATTCTGCTTAAGGTAACTGTTTGCTTTTTTATTGTTTTAATTCTGTTTTTCTCTTTTTGATTCCTCAGTTTCTTTAATAGCATTTACCACTATGGCTTTATTAACAATAATGGAATTCTCAGTGTATCAAGATACCTGGATGAAGTATGAATATGAAGTAGACAAGGATTTTTCTAGGTAACTAACTTTTTCTTGTTTAAAGGCCATGTACAGTCAGCTGTGGTGGTATACATCATTACTCCCAGCAGTCTGGAGGCAGAAACAAATGAATCTCTGTGAACTCCAGGCCAGCCTGAGCTACGCAGTGAGAGCCTGTCTTAGAGAGGAAGGGCTGTGATGCCCATAGCATCCGATGCTTTCCTGGTGGTCTGCTCTCCTTTGTCCTGACCCAGGCCTGGCTCTAAGGCTGGCTGTCTTTCTGTTGGGCATGTGTGCCAGGCACGTATGCTCCTCTGAGCACTAATACTTGAACCAGGAGCATCCACTTGATAATTCCATTCCGTAGTAAAGAAACGACATTGAGGGACACCCAACGTAATGTGTGATGTATAGTTTTTATGATAAGTGGAAGAAATAACTTGGAATTCCTGCTTCTTGATTCAGGTTTTATGTCCTTAAAGGACTGTTTTATCTGAAGTTTCAGTAGGCCAACCTTAGTTTCTTGGGATTATTGGCTGTAAAGTTACTATTAAGAAAGATGACTGTTAAGCATGGAGAAGCAGAAATGGTTTTTGAATAGTCACTTAAGTGAAACTTTTAGGAGGCCAGAGGGATGGGTGGCTCAGTGGTTAAGAGTTCACATTGCTTTTGCAGATGGTCAGAGTTCAGCTCCCCTACCCACCTCAGGGGGTTCACACAAAAGAGAATTTTTAAATGTTCTCGTTCTCATTGTAAAGACTGCACATTAAGTCCTAACTTGCACTCTGCTGTCTGAAGTCCACATTTTTCATGGGTGGGTTGGTTTTCATTTCTGGTGTTTTGCTGATTGACTGATGACTGATGACTGTCCTCTTCTCTTTTAGCAAGTTGAGAATTAACATTGACATCACCGTCGCCATGAAGTGCCAGTGTGAGTACACCCTCAGCACCGCCCGGCTGTCAGCTCACTGCCTTTCCTGAACATGACTATAGTGTAAAGAAAACCATATCAAGGTTTCTGCAGTCCGAGTTGTGATTTGGATAGCCTGTCTGTCTTGTAGAGAGCCAGGCTTTGTACCCCCACTCCACAAGGCATTGTTTCACCTGATCCACCTTTACCACACCTTTACTCTGCAGTGTAAATTACAGGTGCAGTGTTTCTGTTAGGTGAAGAGTGATAAGTCTCCTCTTCTGCCCCAACCCTGACCGTGCTTACTGTACTGATAAAAGTGGAAATGTACTGATCGATATCTGGTGGATTATGCTTGAATCAGCGATGATGCTCTGTATGGAAGTCATCCTCTAAGTCACTGCTTGGAAAGTGGAAACCAGTAAGACATTACTTCAGGCAACGCTTCAGTAATGAAGAAGTTTTACCTTGTTAAAGGGATCGGTTCTAGGGGATTTCATCACAAAACAACAGAGTCTCATTTTTCAGTCTCAGTTTTCTTTATGTTAGTGGTTGTGAGATATATGGAAATACATTATAACTAAATTTTTGAGTTAGCACTGATCCTGAATCTATGCCATATTTGAATATTTAAATACCATTAAAATTTTAGCTTTTCAGAGTAAAATTTCCTATTCTTTACTTTTTAAAATCTCAGTAGATAACACCTTATAATTTCTTTGAATCCTTAAAATATTTCTTGTGATTAATATTATGTTCAGCATTTTTAGTACTTAGAGCTATTTAATTTTGGCAAGCTAGTCAGTCAGTTAACCTTAGCTTCTTTACTATGTGTCATCTTTCTCAGAGCAAGAAGGAGAAAAATAAAATCATTTTCAAATTTCAGAATACTATCCACAAAAGCTACGTAATGCTACTGTTTTAACTTTTGAACAAATGAAAGTTACCTCAGGTTTTTTGTTTTTATATAGCAGATGGTAGTTTTGATTGAAGTTCATAGTGTAAAAACTTTGTTTTAATGCAGATGTTGGAGCAGATGTTCTGGATTTAGCAGAGACCATGGTTGCATCTGCAGATGGTCTATCTTATGAACCAGTAAGTTTGATTTATGTGATGGAGAAAAGTTATACCTAATATCAAAAACTTGAGATTGGAACACAGCTGGCATTTCCGATAGGCCTTTCTAATGTCCGTTACAGTTCAAGTCACTGCTTTCTATCGGGTCACCTTTCTCTTTTGTATTTGCCATAAGAATGGAAGTTTGTACTTCGTAGTTGTCTCAGGACTTTGACCTGTGCCTAAATCTTTAAAAACATTTACCCTGTAGCTTTCTTATCATTGGCATTTACCCTTCCCAGTGCTGATTTCTCTTAATTAGTTCTAAAGTACAAGCTGTCCATAACATAGCTGACTCACCACATAGCGCATTACAGGACTAGCATGTACGATTGACCAGGACTAGCTCTAAAACAGCTTCAGAAAAAGCGTGTGGCCCACTGGCCTCATGGTATGTAGTTTACATACGGCTCACTTTAAAATTCATTTTCTTGTGACTAAGCAAACTTGAAGAATAATGACTACAGAGGGAGGAAGAGTAGAATTCATTGGCTGGGTTGAAACAAGAAAAACCCCTGGACTAGTTCTGATTGCTGAATTAACATAAGTTTACAGCAAGAAAATACATGTTTGTCTTTGATATGCACTTGTTTTCATTACTTTTAAGTCACTGACAATATCCCTGTCAGAGACAACTTGAGGGAGGAGCTGTTCATTGATTGTTACAGATTCAGAGGGTTCAGGCTATGGTTCCTTGACCTCTTATAGTTGGGCCAAACATTATGGATGCTGGAATGTGTGACAGAGGAGCTTTTGTCCCGTGGTTGACAGGTGACAGACAGGAAAAGGCTAAGAGAAGACACCTGATGTCAAAACCAGCCCAGTGACTTCTTCAGTTGTACCATCAGCTGGGGTCTGGGTTTTACTTAGAAACCTGAGGCAAATAGATCATATTGAGACCATAAAGCACTCCTAAAGTAGAAATGTTAATAGAAAAGTAATTTATTGTTGCTCTGATCCCCTCTTCTGATCTATTTTTCCACTAACAAAGTTCATAGTAATTTACATGGAGTAAGTAAATGTAATTTGCTTTATAAATTTAGATACTATTATAACGTATTAGAGTGTGATCTCCAGACTGGGATCCAAATGGTTACCAGTAGACACTGAGATGTTTGCATTTTATACTGTTTTTAGAACATTCAGTTATCGAGCTTTTCCGTAGCTTGTAGGTGTGTACTCATTTACACACGTGTATGCATATTGAGACTTGAGGTTAGCCTCTGGTGTCATTGGGAAAGGTGTTGTCCACCATGTTTTTTGGCATAAGGATCTTTTTCACTGTCCTGGAACTTAAACTTTAGGCTAGGCTGGCTAGCCAGCCAGCTGCTCTCAGGGACCCACCTGTGTGTGTATGCTGCACACACGTTACATGTTTGGCTGTTTTGCGTGGGATCAGATTCAGTTCTTCATGCTTGCAAGGCAAGCGCTTTGCCAGCCCAGAGTTCTGCCTTGCCCTGTGACCTTTTGTTTCCTACTATTCTTAATTCTGTTGTTTTGTTTCTCATTTTATGGGGGGAGGTTTTGAGGTTCCTTTTTTGGCACAGGTGTGTGGCTTGGTTTTGTGACAATTTCTTACCAGGAGGAAGAGCTGCAGATGCTTGAGTTCCCACTTACACTGTGTCCTGTCTGTCACCTGTCTCCCTACCCCCATCCTCAGTGTTATCCTTTTCGTTTTAGTTCGTTAGCATGAGTTTGAGTGTGTTAAGTCCTAAAATAGCCATTTTCCTATAATTGTCAGTGACTGTACACAGGAAAATAGTTATCATTAGTAAAGTTTCTCTATGCTATCTTTGAACACAACATCACAGATTAAATCATGAATATTTCTTATTAGTACCATAATTTTATGTTTCTTGTTCATAGAAAAACATTTAAACTTGTGATACATGACCGCCATGGGATTTATTTGCCAGTGACGGTTCTTTTCTTTTTGCAGGCAGTATTTGACCTTTCACCCCATCAGAGAGAGTGGCAGAGGTAAAGTGTGAACAGTGTCATCACCAGAGAAACCTAGACCACTTTTGTTTGCTGGAATCTATGCATATTTTAAAGTATTTTAGTACATAAACAATCCTTATGACCTCAAAAGCTATCAGATCTTAGGAAAGTCACACATAATCTTTCCTGTAGTATATTTTGAATCATAAATAAATTTTAGTTTTTATTTAAAATTTTAATTAATTAAATTTTTTTTTTAATCATGAAAGTATATGAACATTGTTTAGAATTTGGTTTGGAGCCTGGTGTGATGATGCTTACCTACAATCCCAGCATTTGGGAGGCTTCTGCCAGGAGGATCGTAAGTTCACCTCTTTCCTGGGCTAAGTAGTGAGTTTCAGGACATGGGTTAAATACAGAGACTATCTCAGAAACAAAAGGTTCACTTTTCAGCTTTTTCATTCTGGGAATTGCCAAACCTTGAGTGATGAGAGCCATGTGTGACTCCCTAGGAACTTTGTGTTCAAGAAAAAGTGTTTTCCCCATCCCATTTTGGTTCGCAAGATGGTTTATATTTAAGGTTTTCTAATTTCAGATTATTACCAGAAATGTACTTAAACGTCTGTTTTTTGTTTTTTGTTTTTTTTTTAAGACAGGGTTCTCTGTGTAACAGCCCTAGCTGTCCTAGAACTTGTAAACTCACAGAGATCCACCTGCCTCTGCCTCCTGAGTACCGGGGGTTAAAGATGTGCACTACCACTGCCAGCCTGTTTTTTTTGTTTGTTTGTTTTGTTTTGTTTTTTTTGTTTTGTTTTTTCCTTCAGACAGTTTGTTTTCTAATTCCTGCTACACTTGAGGACTCTTTTTCTTTAATTACCAATTTCTCTGGTTGGAAGAATCTTACTATTGAAATTGAATATAGTTGAATAAAAGCAGTGAATCTTAGGGCTTTCTGGGTATCTAGCACTTTAATTAGAGAACTCTCTCTAAAGAGGAAATGTTACTTTTATCCAGAAATATTGAAGTGTGGTGCATACTTGTAATCCCAGTAATTAAGAGGCTGGGGCGGGGAACTGAACCCAGTACTGGAAGAGCAGAGAGCACTTTTAACCCTTGAGTCTTCTCTTCTGACCCAAGCTGACTCCTTTTATCTAGAATTCTATTAGGTATTGCAGAGGAGTAATGATTGGGGGCAGAGACCTTATTAAGGAAGAGGGGTTTCTCATCGTGCTTGGGCTTTCTGCATGCCTTCATACGGAGTTCATACTTGGTTGTTGGTTGTGTTCCAAGCAGAAGTCTCACACAGTTTCCTCAAACTGCTGCCATCCATTAAGCTTAACTTGAACTTTTGTAGACTTAGAAAAGATGGAAAGCTCTCAGGTTCTGGGCTTAGCTCCAAAGTTTATGTCTTTAGATATATAATCTGCTTTCTAGATCTTTCTTAATTATTATGTTATGCTTCTAAATGGATATTGTAGTGTAGTGGGAAAATCTACAAGGCCTGTCACTTCCTAATAAGGTACATACTAGAATGTTCTTTACCTTTGGAATTTGCTCTCTTGGCTGGTGTTTTGCCTTAAATAGGATCACAATATTTTTAAAAGACAATTTCAAACCCTGGACACAGCCTTTTGGGATATCTGCTTTCTCTTTCTATATTTAAGGTTTATTTCAAACTAAGTTTATTGTGTAAATTCGATTTTTAATGTTAACAAAACAGGCCTGTTAATCCAGTATTCTAGATGGATAGTGCATAAATATTTTTCTCATTTCTGTGTTTATACGATAATTTTACTATTGCGATGAGGTATGGTATATTATGAGATAAATAGTTGTGTTTTTTTAAGATCATATGTTTACATATGTTTACATGTAAGGTCCCCCCCACCCCCCTACTTTTAAGTTCACTATTAGTGTAGTTTAAGTTCACAGAGAAGGTGAGTGGAAAGTGCAGAGTTCACATGTCTCAGTCTCCTTTATCAGCATCAGGCACCAGAATGGCTTACTTGTCATGTCAATGAGACTGCATGGACCCAGCCCAACATTACTGATGGTCTGTAGTTCACTTGGGAGCTCCCTTTTGGAGGTCTCTCTCTTGAGTGGACAGTTGGGTAATGATATATATCCACCATTGTACCATCAAGAGCAGTTTCACGACTCTGAAAGTCCTCGCTGTCACCGCTCATTTCTCCCCAGTGTGTGTAGTTTGTTTGCTTGCTATGCTGTGACTTGAGGTGTTACTTATTTAAGGTCATGATGAAAGAGACGAATCTAAGCATTGTTTTATGTTTTTTAAGATTTATTTTTACTGTGTATGTTTGAACATTTAAAAAATTTGTAGTTTTTAGATTTATTTTATGTGTGTAAGTGTTCTGCTTGAATCTATGTCTGTGTGCTGTGTGCATCCTGGAACTGGAGTTATGGGCAGTTGTGAATATACCATGTGGGTGCTAGGAATCAAACCTAGGACCTCTGCTGGAACACCAAGTGTTCATAATCATTTCTCTAGCCCTCCGTGTGTGTGTGTGTGTGTGTGTGTGTGTGTGTGTGTGTGTGTGTGTGTGTGTGTGTGTGTGTGTGTGTGTGTGTGTGTGTTGTGTGTGTTACCTGAATGTGTCTTGCTTTACAGGGAAGATGATTTGTTACTGACTCCAGATGCGTGCAGAATCCACGGTCATCTATATGTCAATAAAGTAGCAGGGAATTTTCACATAACTGTGGGCAAGTATGTTCTTTTCACTTCCTGAAGTTCTTTAGGTGGGGTTGGAGCTTGATTAAAATTACTCCTTTTCCTAGTACACAACCACCACAAAGGGCACTTTAAAGTGTTGTCTGTGAGTAAATAGGAATTAAAACCTCTTAATGGTAACTTTTGTAGCCAGAGAGCCTGACCCTAGATGTTCCATCAGTGTCTTCATTTATTGATAGTAGGTTTTTGTTTTGTTAGCCCTTTGGTAGTTCTCATAAAAAGGACTTCCCTTAGTAATTCTAGAAAAACTCAAAAGTTACTAATGTGTAGTATGAAGTAATTTAGGCAAAAACTTAGGAAAACTGCCACTATCCTCCTGAATATAATCCAGCATCACAAAAAACTCTTGGTAGATCTCACCATGGGTGAACATCTGCTCCCCAGCTTCCTCTTTCCAGGGAGACCTGATGAGCTCTTCACTGTCTCAGCCATTGCCTGAATACCTGATGTGTGCAGAGTACTAGTATAGGGGAACCTGTAGCCAGCCCCTAAGCGGGCGTGGCTACAGGTTCCCCTACATTCTAGCCTGGAGACTCAGGGTCAAACAGTGAAAAGAGGAAGCCTTTACTCTCCTGCGTGCTGAAGTCATACAAGAATATTCAAACTTTGACCAGTAACTACATTAGCTGTTACTTAATTATAGTTGTATTGAGGCTGTAGAGGAGATATATAGCCGATAAGAAAAATTTTGACATTGTCTACAAGTCAGCAGAGGCTTCATGAGGAAACTTTGGAGTTGTATGGGGAGTTAGGAGTTCACATCGAACAGAGAGCATGTCACAGAAGAGAACTTGGCTTCAAGGGTGGCTTTGGTTTTTTTGTTTATAGAAAGAGAACATTAGATTTTTATATATATTTTTTGTTGGTTATTTTTGTTTGTTTGGGTTTTGGTTTTTTAGAGACAGGGTTTCTTTGTGGCTTTGGAGGCTGTCCTGGAACTAGCTCTTGTGGACCAGGATGGTCTTGAACTCACAGAGATCCACCTGCCTCTGCCTCCCGAGTGCTGGGATTAAAGGCGTGTGCCACCACTGCCTGGCACATACATGTTTTTTTTAATCAGGAAAGTCTTTATTGCTTATAATAATCAGATCAAAATTTAGTTTTTCTTTGCTGTGCTTTTCTCCTGCAAATTCAGATTTTGTCGTTTGGCCACTGTTGAGTGTTCATTTACCAAATGCAGATGGTCCTAGGGACTTTGAAGCCTTGGTACCCATAGAGGCAGCTCATGATGGAGAAGGCTTCTTCAGCTTTCCTTGCAAACAGTGCCCTAGTCCAAGAGGAAGCACAGTGTGAGCTTCTATATATGGCCTATATTTTATTTTTGGCTGTTTTTCTCCCCAATTTCATACCTTTCAGCAGATGGTAACATATATACATACATACATACATATATCAATCAGACCCCAAAGGAAAAGCTTTTGTTGTGTCTCTCAAACTCCAGTGGACTTACCTTTTCTTTCTTTTTCTTTTCTTTATTTTTTTGTGTGTGTGTGTGTGTGTGTGTGTGTGTGTGTGTGTGT